GAGCAAGAGGGGGAAGCAGCTGAGCCCGAAGACGAACCTGCCGATGAAGAATCAGATTTGGACAACGATGGACAACATCTCCAAGATCCAGAGGACAACATATCAGATGAAGCAACAGTCGCTGCGCTCCCTTCGCAAATAAATAGTGACGAAACTCATGCAGAATCGTCAAGGCGTAGCGAACGGGAGCGCAAGTTTCCGGGTAAGTTGCTCGATTATGTTACTGGTTTCCAAGCAACCCCTGGTGCGTTTTCCTTCACATTAGATGTTCCTGAAACCTACAAGCATGTGCTAGTTCGGGAAGACCGAGACGAGTGGCTGCAAGCCATTCAAGACGAGTTGCAGTCAATGGAGAAAAATCAGGTGTGGAAGATGGTACCATGCCCCGCTAACGTGAAGCCATTAAAAACCAAGTGGGTTTTCCGGATTAAGGAGGACGAGGCCGGACGGATAGTACGGTACAAGGCCCGACTTGTCGCGAAGGGTTTTCTGCAGAAACCTGGACTGGACTACGAAGAGACGTACGCTCCAGTGGCCAAGCTTGCGACGATTAGAATCATCCTTGCGGTTGGTGTTCACGAGGGCTTCTTCTTTCACCAGATAGATGTAAAGACGGCCTTTCTTCACGGCGAGCTAAAGGAATCAATTTTCATTTGTCCTCCAGACGGTACGAAGTCAGCACCAGGGATGGCGTGCAAGCTGCAAAAGTCGCTTTACGGACTTAAGCAGTCACCACGGTGTTGGAATCAGAAGTTCACTAGCCAGATCGAGAAACTGGGTTTCGTGCGATCAAAGAGAGACTACTGCTTGTACGTCAGGTACGAGGAGAATGACGAGCTTTATATCATCCTGTACGTCGATGATCTTCTGATTGCGGGAAGAAATTTGGACACCATCAACAAGCTAAAAAAGAAGCTATCTACTGTTTTTGAGATGACCGATTGCGGAGAATTGGACACCATCAACAAGCTAAAAAAGAAGCTATCTACTGTTTTTGAGATGACCGATTGCGGAGAATTGCGACACTTTCTTGGTATACGGATCAATTACAACCGTAATGGTGGATCTTTGCGACTGTCACAGGAATCCAACGTTACAAAGGTACTGAATCGTTTTGGAATGGGTTAATGCAATCCGATCAAGACTCCAATGGAAAAAGGTCTACAACTACCTCGAGGTGGGCCTAGCGCTGAAGAACCATATCGCGAATTGCTTGGCAGCTTGATGTACATTATGCTCTGTGTCAGGCCAGATGTATGTTACCCTGTCAGTTATCTCGGGCGATTCCAGCAGGATTCATCAACCGTACATTGGAATGCATTGAAGCGAGTGGTGCGGTATCTTAGCGGGACAAAAAACCTGAGTCTCGAATACCAGAGGAACAGTGAATCAGTACCGCTCATAGGCTATGCCGATGCCGATTGGGCGGCCGACCTTCATGACCGAAAATCTGTGAACGGCTTCATTTTCAAGGTCTATGGATGCACCGTATCCTGGAGTAGCAAGAAACAATCCACCGTATCATTGTCGTCAAGTGAAGCTGAGAACGTTGCTCTTAGTGCAGCAGCAGCAGAGGCCGTATGGATCAGCGGCATTTTGAACGACCTTCAAGTAATTGCCAATCCAGTGACAATCTATGAAGACAACCGAGGATGCATCGGCATGGCCAAAAATCTAGAAAGCAAGAGGACCAAGCACATTGACGTGAAACATCATTTCATACGAGATCTGGTGGAGAGTGGTACACTGCACATCGAGCCGATTGGAACCCGTGATCAACTGGCGGATCTGTTCACAAAACCTTTGGAAGCCACCCGGTTCCAACAACTGACGTCTTACCTAGGAATGTCGGATTGAGAGGGAGTGTGAAACAAAGTAGCCGAGGATACACCGAAGCCAGGTCCGTTTGTTTGAAGATTGCCGTGGCAACGGATAAACAACCTAGGTAAGTAACAAAAGGATACCATGGCAGCAAGTATATAACCAAGGACTCCATGGCAGCCAATAAACAACTAGGAGGGTATAAATAGTGAATTTTCACCTAGTTCTAGTTAGTTCTAATCCAACCATCAATTTTTTCGAGATAACAGCAAATCTCGACGTTTAATGCATTTTTAAGACATTTGGCATCAAAAAAAATTTTGATTTCCGAAATTTCATGTACCCCCCCCCCTTGGGAGATTTTCGAGAGCGAAAAAAGTCAAACTTTGACGCGTTTGCGCCACCCCTAAATCATGTCCGATTGAGCTCAAATTTTGCATAGGGTCATTTTTCGAGGCAACTGTCAAAGTATGAGCCAATCGAACATTCCCATTAGAATTTTTCCGAGGATTTCTTGTTCTTACTAGATTAAATTTGAGAGTATTGCAATCGAACAGAAATTTAATCACCTTTATGTTTCGTGTGCTTCTCAAATTCTACTAGTTTTTGGAATCAAACGCAATATTCTAGCTCTATTGATTAATTGATATTAGTTGGTTAATTAATGGCACCATTAGTTGGTTAATTAATGGCACCAAGCAATGTGCACAATATTGCGATGCAATAAATTATTAATTGGTACGTAAATCGAATCAAAAATAAGTCATGTGAAACAGGGTTGCTTTCACTCACTTTCTATAAAAAAATGTTTTTTTTTTTTTAATTATGAAATTATTAGATAATGTAACGATATGTTGTACTAGAAGGCAACAAGAAGAGGGTGTAAAGTATGTGTTTGACTCATAAAACCTGTCAATTTCGCTTGCAGAACGTCACAATCAGCGATCGTATGATTCGTGTGCGTTCACTTAGAGTATGCGCTCACGAATCGTAAAATTGCTGATTGCGACGCACTAAAAGCAATATTGACAGGTTTTATATGTCAAACACATACTTAACGATCTCTTCTTGTAACTTACAAGTACTAATTATCATTATAATAACATTAATTTCATAATTCTGAAAAACAATTTTTTATAGCAAGTGAGTGGAAGTAACCTTGGTGTCAAATGCTAGCTTCTACCAAGGGTTACAAGATAATTTAGGTACAAATCCCTGCTGCCGAATTGTATTTTGTTTTCTCCGCCCATCTCTCCCTCTGAGTATTTCTAATTGAAACCAGCATCTGAAACGTCACAATTCAAGTGTGGACTGCAAAAATGGCGTGACAGGATTGTCCTATTTTTATCAATTGAAATCATTTTCTCTTTTATGCCATACACAGCAAAAAAAAAAGTAATATCGATCAACGTAATTCAAGCTGATGTATGAAATAGTGATGTAATAGCAAAAAGCAGATACAATATTACATCAATGGATGTAATTTTGTTCGCAAAATCGATGTACATCGTACAATGTGATATTACACAACCGATGGATTGACCTGGTTGCAGCAGTTTCGATGTAATATTCAACAACTTTTTTTGCTGTGTATAAATGGTTCACTTCGTGTTAGAAAATCAGAAAATAATGCTTTATGCGGAAGCGGAACGGCAACGGCAGCGGAAAAGCCCGATCTGAGTAAGCCAACTTGTCAGATTGAAAACTTGTTGGAACCAAATCGGCTTCGGTTAGGCATCTTGATGTCATTTGGGACAACTGTCAAACTTGCCGTTTCCGTTCCGCTTCCGTCCTCATAAGCTATTTTACATGAAGTCTTGATGACAGTTTCTGGCGGGCCACTCGAACGCGCTCGAGGCATTGTTATTGTTTACGTCTGATGTTTTTGTTTTGATTTTGGTCGTGGTAAGTCAACAAATCGGCCCGCTGGTAAACGTCAAAATAAGTAAACAGAAAAAAAAACAGCTGACTCGAAAAGTCTCGAAAAATGCCTTATTGCGTTTGGGCCTTAACTCAAGACCAACAATTGAAATGGCCTTAACTCCATTTTGTAAACAAAGCTTGTAAGGCCATTTTCTCACGAACCGAAACCTTCATTCGCAAACCTAAACCACAATCGGGTAGAGGAGAATTTCCCCTACCTGTTCGTTATGTTGGTTTGCCTTTGCGGACTTCGGTTCGCGAGAAAATGGCCTTACAAGGTTTGTTTACAAAATGGGGTTAAGGCCATTTCAATTGTTGGTCTTGAACTATTGTGTAGAGTTTAAGTAACAAATTCATGTATAAAAGGTTTTGGAAGAATATAGAATCGGGGAGTTGTTCTAATGAGTTGATTTTATTCGAGGTTTGCTAGGTGCGGACGAGCACAGTTCCAACCTCAGGATAAAAGATCATCAGAGTTGATTTTTACACAGAAGTCGGAATTACTGTCTTTTATTTCATGAAGAAAAGAAAGACCACGCGAGTAAAACAAAGTTGCTCTACGCTGGGCGCTCCAGTAATACTATTTAAAACTACTTAATGAAATACTCAACAATGTAACTATCAGCCATTCCATGGCGAAACGATATAGTGGTTCTAAGAATTTCGTAAAACTAGGTAGTTTTGTTCCTTATCGCAAAATATTAGACCCGTATTTTATCCAACGCCGCGCAATAAAGCTGAAATTATCATGCACATGTTTGTTATGATCTCGAATCGTGCACCACCCACCGACCACAAGAGCAAACATGCCGCGACCGGTCAGTTGTACAGTAATCCCTCCTGTTATGCTGTGGGTGGTACAGTCCACCCACCACTTTTTCTCGGCTGTCCTTCAACCAATTGAGCTGATTTTTTTTGTATGTGGTTAGTGTCTTTCATAAACTAGTTATCTACAGAAAATCAGCTTAATTGATTAAAGGACAGCCGAGAAAAGGACGGTACCACCCACCGCATAAACGGAGGGATTACTTGTTGTCACTTCGCTACCACCACCACTAATCAAAAGTAAAAACCAACTCAGCTGGCGGTGCTGTTGTGGTAGTGGACCGCAGAATACAGCCATCCCCCAGGCAACTACCACCCAGCCACCGCCACACGGACGACTGTATGCGTTCGTTTCATACTCTATAAAGTCAGCTGGCAGCAGGCCGCCGCGAGACAGTTTCAAACCTACGTCGATTGAAACCAGCTTAGAGAGTGTACCTACTTGCAATTCTGAGGATGAGTGGCCAGCGGCAGATGATTGGATCGATTTCTGAGTACAACAATGAACTGGACGATTGGAATGTCTACTACGAGCGGTTGGAGCAGTTTTTCGAAGTTAATGACGTTCCTGACGAGAAGCGAAGTGCGTTTCTAATTAGCGTGATTGGTGCCGACGCGTACAAAAGTTTGAGGGATCTGTGCCACCCGATACTGCCCAGGGATAAGCCGTTTGAAGCTTTGTGTGAATTGCTGCGGAAGCAATTCAGTCCGCAGATTTCGATTTTCCGAGAGAGGGTCAAGTTTTACAACGCCCGTCAGGAGGGCTACGAAAACGTGACACAGTGGTATGGACGATTGAAGCGATTGTCAGTGGATTGCAAGTTTTGTGGCAATTTGGAAGGTGTGCTGTTGGATAAGTTTATTACCGGACTTAGACCGGGCCAAGTGTTGGATCGACTGTGCGAAGAGAACCAAGCGCTCAAGCTGGAGCAGGCTTTGGATATTGCCGTGAACAAGGAGTGCGCTGCTAAGGAGAACGCATATCTACCGTACAGACCTCCACGGTGTGGTGTGGATCAACCTCCAAAATTTCAAAAGTGCCTTTTTGGAGGTGGACCCGTTCAATCGCCTCGGCTCGCGATCTGTCCCCCAGCACCAACCGGCTATAGGCCGCAAGCGCGAGGTTTTGACGGTGTTGGATCGTTGTTTGGAGGATCAGGTGGTGGCGCAGCGGCAGAATTTGAATTCGGTGCCGCCCCAGCCGCTCAACCTACGACAGCATTATTTGGCAGCCTTTCTGCAGGCCAGCCGGAACAGGAAGAAGTAGCAGATTCGGCTCCCGCGCTTGGTGCGGGTCTGTTTAGCGCTGTAAACCAAGAACAACAACCACAGGAACAGCAGGATGGCATACCGGAGGGAGCTAATCGAGTTGGCGGTCCGGCAGCGAAAGGTCGACGAGTCCGTACTCGACGACGCGGTGCAGGCCGTCGCGGCGCTGCTGGCGACACTGGTGATCAGAATTCTGTCGATGGAGAGCAGCAGTAAGGGCGGAATCTTGGGTGCTTACAGATGACGTTTCCTGTGCTTTGATTCAGTGATAGGCTAGTCATATGAATATTTAATAGATTATAATATACATATATATATATATTTCTTCAAGAAGTCTTTCAAAAAGACGATAAATATTAAAAAATGTTGTAAGTATTTTGTGATGCATTTATTTCGTATAACATAACAATAACTACGCGCGAGTTATTTTGAAATTGCCTAATAAAATTCTATGAATTGTAATATTTCTGTTGGTTACTTAATTTGAATCCGAACGCTCATTATTCGAAACAAAATTTTACTGCTAATACACAACTCTGCATTAAATTTACTAAATTTCCATAAGATTTCTTTAATTGACGCTTAAACAGGAACCTTTGATTGGTGTTTAAAAAGAACCTTTTAGGACAAGGCAAAGAAACCAACCTACCTTTCGTTTCAAGCAGATTAACCTTGAAGAAAATTCCATCCATCAAATGAAACTGTTGCACATCCCAAACCCGAATTGTTACACAACCGATGGTTCAATGTACTGCCCATAAACGCATATCAGTCCCATCTGGAAAAAACGGGCAAGCCGAGAAAAATTGTGCTGAACTTTAATTTCTTCGTATGGAATAACCTAGTTTTGGCATTTTTCATGATATTTTCTGAACAAAACATGTAACTTTTAGAGCACAGGGTAAAATGCCGGTAGGTTACAATCGATTCTAATGGATAACACAATTCTGAAAAAATCCGCATGGGGCTATTATGCTTTTATTGGCAGTCTAGGAGCTGTTTAACTTTCCGAATCAACAATCAAGTTGGTACGATTTCCTGGAAGCCCTCCCAGAAACCCGTTTTGCCAAATTGGCATCATCGTGAGAGGCATTCAGTGGAATGATGCGTAAACCCAAGCAAGCAGCACTCCTCCGACTGGCGTGGCAACAACTTTGCGGGCCATCCCTAAATTACGTCACGCATCTAAGGGAGGGGAAGCGGTTCGATGAAACGTGGCAATTTGTGGCATATGGGAGAGGGGGACTAAGCTAAAACGGGACATCACATTTGTTCACGTTAAAAAATATTTAACGAAAATTTAAAAATTATTTTAAAAGCCTTGCAGCGTGTCGTGTCACGAGACATTGCAGAATCTGTCACGAGACATTGCAAGTTCTGCATACTTTACATGCAAATCTGTAATTGAACTTTACATTTCCCGGTTGGTGAATATTTCTCATTCCGGAACACAAACATTGTCCATCATATACTGTGTATCAGTGTTCACTCGGCTGTCGATAGAAGCAGACCACTCTCAATGTGTGTCACGCGATCGTCTGTTTACTCGGCAGCAACCATTGTGTGGTGCTCCTCATTGTTCTTTATCAGTAGTTCTTTCAGTCGATGCGTCGTCGACTTTGCAAAGCAACCGTTTGGTGATGAATGTGTGAGTGCTGACCACGTTTTGCGTCCATTGCTACAATGGAAGCGCTTTAACCCTCATTGGCGAATCTGCCATACAAGTAAACCACTGGAAGCGGCTCCCGTTCTGGTAGAGGAAGCTTATTGGATAACGGAAGATAAAATGTTTATTGTGTTGTACCTTTTGACTATAGCTTTAAGATGTATTGTAAAGTGAACAAGAATCCTCGGCTCTGTAAAGTTAATTCGGTTGAGCCTTATCAAATAAATTAATAATAATAAAAAAAAATATACAGTGGATAACAAAATTGAGCGTACACCCTAATGGATTTTTTAAAACATTGTGAATATAATAGACATATTTTTAAAAATCTTGGTTGGTGATTAAACAGTTATTTATTGATTTTTCGCTATAGTTTTGGACTTTATTGGAAGAACCTGCATCAAATTAGACTTATTGTAGTAAAACTCTCGATTTTCAACTTTTAACCTAGAGAACGAATTTTAGAAAAAAATAGAGGAATATTAATGACTTTAAATGAACAAAATTTCAAGAAGCCACCTTATTGTATTTCAAGATATTAAGGTATTCCAAGAAAAAATCGTTTTTCTCAAACAGCTCTTACTTTTAATAAACGCAACCAAATAAGCCCAAGTCCAAAACGTAAGTAGTAAATGTAGAGTAAAGGGTGTCCCACATCAAATTTCTTCACGGAAAAAAACGCTGTAGAAAATTACCCATTGGGTATTTTCTCTTGAAAATTTGAGTAAAAGTAGTTTAGAGTGTATTGTTTACACTGTATTTTTATCGCTGTCAGATTTTCGAAAGTTTGAAAAAAATGACGTCAACCGAAAAGCAACGTCGCGAATTGATTTTGCGCAAGCACCTGGAAAATCCTCTACTCTCTCATCGGGACATCGGCAAACAACTCGGAATCGTGCAGTCAACGGTGAGTCGTGTGATTAAATGTTACTACGAAACTCTGAGCATCGAACGGAAGGAGAAATGCGGTCAGAATGGGTGTTCTATTAGTGATCAGAATCACAAGCGTGTCGTGAAAGCGTTTAAGCGGAATCCCAATGCTTCGGTCAGGGATGTGGCCAAAAAGTTGAATCTGTCCAAGTCTTTCATTCAGAGAGCTAAGGACCGGGAGGGACTGCATACGTACAAAGTGCAGAAGGCTCCAAATCGTGACGATCGGCAAAGTACGGCGGGAAAGTCACGGGCCCGGAAACTGTGCACCCAGATGCTGACGAAGCCTCATTGTCTCATCATGGATGATGAGACTTACGTCAAGGCGGACTTCCGGTAGCTTCCGGGGCTACTGTTCTTCACCACCCAGCACAAGTTTGATGTTCCGGAGGAAGTGAGGAAGCAGAAACTTTCAAAGTTTGCCAAGAAATACATACGTTCGTCACTATCGAAACTGTATACAACGGGAGATCTACCTCAAGGAGTGCCTACAGAAGCGTCTGCTTCCTCTGTTGAAGCAACACGAGGGCCCTACGATCTTCTGGCCGGATCTAGCTTTGTGCCACTATTCAAATGTTGTCCTGGAGTGGTAAGAAGCCAACGGTTACTTTCGTACCCAAGGAAATGAACCCCCCGAACGCACCGGAACTAAGACCCATCGAAAAATGTTTCCCAAGGAGATCAAATCTGAGGAAGACATGAAGAAAAAGTGGGTTTCCGTACAGAAGTAGCTGCAGTCAGATGTTGTACAGAACCTAATGAGTGGAGTTAAGCGTAAGGTGCGAGCCTACGGTTATGGTATTGAAGTTGAATGAAATGAATAGGCCAAAAGCTAACGAATGGGATATTTTTAATTGTCTGGAAGTTTGAAAAGGATCGGTCTACTAGGTAATTTTCTACAGCATTTTTTCCGTGATGCAATTTGATGTGGGACACCCTTTATGAGCGTGTCATGGGAAGCCATGGCCTCGGAGAAATCAGCGAAAACGGTGAGCTGGTTGCAGAATTTTGAGGTAATAACGACATGGTGATCGGGAGTTTGCAAAGTCACGAGGGTTTCCCGTGATGGACATACCGAATATCAGATCGACCACATTTGCATCAGCCGAAAATGGAGACGGAGCCTTCTTGATGTTTGGAATAAACGCAGCGCCGACATCGCGTCTGACCATCACCTTCCAATCGGCGAGATCCGCCTACGCATGGCGCGGATGCTGTGACGGGAGGAGAGACTCGGGCGACGGTTCAACACACGCCGACTTGAAGATCCAGCGGTAAAAAGGTCTTTAGTTGGCAATCTTGAGACTCGAGCTGCGGACGTTCCAGAAGGTGGCAGCGTAGAAGAACAATGGACGGCCATTAAGAATGCATTCATAGAAACAAGCGAGAACAACCTGGGTGAGCTGCGCACCCAGAGAAAAGAGTGGCAGAAGATTGAGGAGCGAGTGAGAACCAGAGGAGTCAAGAACGGAGCCCGTCAATGGTACTCGGCTTTAGAAAAGGAAGTCAAACGCTCTTGCAGACGGGACAAGCGAGCGTGGGTGAATTCCCTGGTCGACGAAGGGGAGAAATATATCTCACGGGATATCTCACAACACCTGAGTGGAGCAAGGATGAACCCGAGGATGTCAGTGTAGGACACTACTGAACAGTTGTTTACCCACTGACCAGCTGAAACGCTGGGTTGAGCACTTCGAACAACTTCTTCAAGTTTCGACGGCCAACCAATCATCAACATCTCGGCATGATCCGCCTAGGGTGTGGCGCATCACTCGCGTCAATTCCGAGGCCACATCACTGCAAGAGCTTGAAGCAGCTATCCGAAGCATGAAATCCAACAAGGCTCCAGGGGTTGATCACAAAGTTCTGTTCAAAGTTTTCCTGAATCGGATACAGGACAAGATTGACGTGACTCTCCGGTGGCAGCAGGCAGGATTCCGTGCCGAAAGATCTTGTGTGGACCATATTGTCACGCTCCGCATCATCCTGGAGCAGGTCAATGAATTCCAAGAGTCCCTTTAGTTGGTATTCATTGACTATGAAAAAGCTTTCGACCGACTCAATCACGAGAATCTGTGGGGCGCCCTGAGACGCAAGGGAGTCCTGAATAAAATCGTCAACCTCATCAAAACGCAGTATTAGCAACAATCAATACGAAACTAACGATTTTAAATTGGCTCACTACTTGACTAGCCTATTGGTCCCAAGCAAAAGATTAACGTACCCCTTTCTAGTCGAAATTCTAATACTACACAATGTTTGTTTTGATTAGCTATGAAAGTTTGACAGATAAAATGAGGATTTCCCTATGTTTCGAGGGGTGAATCGATTAGCTTGGGACCGAAGAGAGTACCAGAGCTGACCAAAAAGTTGAGCACGTTTCTTCGGGACCTTCTAGTCTTAGAGTTACCTCTATGGTATCAGGCATTTACGTGCAGAGTTCTGCATAACGGAACCTAGTCTGACCCTATCCGGATAGTCATGGTGGGTGCAATTGACCGTGTACCGAACCGTGGGCTGCTTTGGCAGCCTATCATCATGGAGCATCTCAACGACTTCGATTTGGCTGATGATGTTGCTCTACTAGCACAACGGCGCTCTGATATGCAGAGTAAGCTGAATGACCTAACCTAACGCTTCTCTGCGGCGCGTC